GCGCTTGGAGGCGGACGCCATCCTGGCCGCCGACGGCCCGACGCCACCGACGCCACGGTGGCAATGCGGATGGCGAGTCTGGCCGCGTCCGACGACCCGTCGGAGTTGCCACCGCCAGCCATGGTTCAGAGAACTCAACGAGCATTCGCATCCACCACGTCTCTCACATCACGTACGGATTAAACGCATGGATATGCAAAGCTAGTAGTCGAACCTAACAAAATCATAATTAATAAAGAAGCAACCTCTAGTAGTTCTTTCAATTATGGAGCTTGCATTTTGCATTTACTATCTCAAATTACTTGTTGCTAATGGCCCTGTTCGTTTCGCTAAACACGGTTCCGGCTGATTTGTTGTGAGAGAAAAATACTGTTTCGGCTGAAAAAATAAGCTGAAAAATATGGATTATAAGAGAAGCGAATAGGGCCAATATGATTCTGACAGCAGTTAGGCTAGGCTACACATTTGTAGATAGAATATATATATATTAAAAAAGCACTAGCTAGATAGTTTTATGCGGTCGAATGGGATGGATGCTACATGGTAATCCAAAATGTGAGATCCATATCATTGCGATGACGTGGTTAACTACCACTCTCACGCACGAGCAAATCAAACTTGAATATTATAGAAACGCAATTTGCACAAATGATGGGGAGTTGATAAGGTGCGTAGTCGATCGTTGACTTGGACTCGGTACATACATGCCAGTCATATCGATCAGCATGGTGGCGCCTTTTGGTTTCCAGGCACATCAATCATTAACCATCTTGTTAATAACCATTTCCACTGCTACTTGCAAACATTATTCGTTTTGTATTTTCCATTTGACGACATATAAGAACTTATATTATTTCTTCACCAAATGAGTTTTAAGTCTGACAATTCGGCCTATTGCTGGATATATCGAAGCATAATTATAGTTAACTCAAATTAATCACCTACACTTCTATCCTAACTATTTAAACTTCTAAAAATTGAATACAAAATGTAAAATATGTCATTTTGAAAAAGTTTCCCCCAAAAAACATGGTTTGTTTGGAACACTCTTTAAATTTAAACATCACTGGTACAAAAATGAAATTTCTGTATTATCGGTACGGGCTGATATTTATCGTGTATCGTTAAAAAAAGTTCATGAACTTGAATTTGATCTGCCAGATTTGGACCCACGAACGCACGCCAGCCCAGGACGAGTGGATAAAAGTCCCACAGTAACCAACCCTAAAAATCGATCCTATTTTCACCCCTCCTCTTCCTTTCCAAGCTACTGCTGTTTGCTCTCTCCCAGCGGCACGCCAAGCTCTCAAACGCTTTATCCTCAATTTTTATACTATTTTGTATAGTTTTTATATCAAATAGCTTAGACATATTTTACTTGATTTTCTCTATGAATTAATAATTTTTTATATAAATTTTGGCTGAAATTTTCTTGTATATATCACCAATAAATTTCTGATACTTATTTCCGTTATTCCCATTTATCAGTGACAACCGATATTTAAAAAAATATTGATAATGGAAAGAAAATTTTGGCTCTCAACTGTTGACGTCATTTGAACTCAAGGACTTCTTAATTCAGTCATGTTTTATCTGACATCTGGCACTAGAACTCATAAATGTTTGTTTTGTGATCCAGTAGTAACAAAATTTTCTCTCCTTGTGTACTTAAAATGTACCTAGGATCATAGATTATTGAATGTAAAAAACACATATATTTAAGCATTGAAGCCAGATTATCATTTATTTATTTTTCTACAAAACTGGTAGCTAGTTTCCATGTGCTTACCGAATGACTACTGCACACAGAGAAAGTTCAGAAGTGGTACATAGAGTCCCGATTGTATATCCCACCTTGTGCACCGGTGTTGACTATGTGAGTTGTGTGTGTGACTTGACCTCTAACAGAAGTTTGTTGAGACCCTTATTTATACAAAGCTGTACTTGTTGTTCAGTAGGCACCAACGTCTTCCAAATACAGAGTAAAGTAACATGTTGCGCAATGCAGATACTGTTATCTTAACAATTGGATATAAAATTACTTGTCATACAACATTTAATTTCTCCAAAATTGCGCAACACGGGTCAATGTCCTCCATCAGCAAAGTTTGGAAGCATTTTGTTTTTTCTACCACCGATGAGGTCTCATTTTCGTTCATTTCTGCAAAATCTTTAAGCTTGATGGATGAAAGCAATATGTTCTCGCTCCTTGTAGCAAAGAATTGCACTTGGAAGACAATGAACAGTTGAAGGCGTAAGTCGTATAATAGTTTTTAGCTTTCAACATCGATATTTGGTTTAGCCATCTAGAGAGACGTTCATTCAACTACAGATAAGATGCATGGTAATTTTGCCCTATTTGATATCGTCATAACCACAAAAATTCTCTTTATGTCCAAGCAACCTTCGATTATAGGTGACTCATTTAGTCATTCAAGGAACTGAGCCTAAGTATGCAAGTGGCTTGAGTGTGTACATCTCGGTTTGAATTATATGCCTATTTCTTGTCATGACACGTCACCTAGCTCCAACTACTTATGGTGTGTGGTTTGAAAAATGTGGTGGTCCATATTTTTCTCACCTGCCACTTTTTTTTATTTGGTTTGTGGAACGAATTAGTTGATTCATCATCACCTCATTCCTCGTAAGCTAATAATTAGTATATGCATGAGTAATGGGTTGATTCCGTCAAAACTCATAGATGAACTTATGATATATCACCTCATGAAGCATGGGGCGACTTCAGAAACCAAACAAACCATTAGTTCATCGAGTCTTTACACAACTTATTTTCGTTTCCATGTCTCACTAACAGTCGGTGAGGGTGTATTTTCAGTGTATATTATATATTACTTTTGACCTTTGGCCAGGTATTCCGTATAGTCACAAGTACGCCATATTGTGTTTTATGAATAGTTATAAATAAAAACTTTGTTTCACAAATTATTTTTTATTTCTTCATTTTGATATTCGAAAATTAATGAATTTGTGTGGAATAGTTCCGTGACTAGCTAGGGTTTTGCAATGCTTTATAAACTATAAAATCGAGGTAGTAGTCAAGATTATATTCTAGAGGCCAAGTACACATCACTTAATTTCGGTATTCCACAAAATCTTATGTTTTACTTCTTGGGCAACTATATTATGGTCTACATTCCATTATAAGGTACTTTCTGTTTGTTCAATTTGGATAATTTTTACTTTGAATATTCATGAGAGGACTGCGTATCACGGTATTAATTAATTTTTGAAATTTGTAAATGTGTTGATTTTTATTGACAAATAGTATTGTTTTCGCGATGCTTTATAACATTATTACCAAGAAAGTGTACATAGGCCATACATGTTGCTTATTTGTGACCGGAGTAAATAAGCGAGGGAATGATAATTGCCAGAGCTACTTCTGCACGCAAAATTTCGTTAAAAAAACTATAAAAGGAGTCCAAGATGACATCTATCACAATGCATATTCCAATAGCATTTTTATCCATGATACTGTTGGTACGTATACAATACAGAAGGGCCACCAATGGAAATGAATTCAGAAGATGAAATTAAGCCACACCATGGTCCAAAACGCAAAACCTAATGCTTGTGATGGCACCCATGGTCACAACCGCCGGACTCAGAGCTGGAGCTGGACTTCGAGTCCGAATCTCCACCGGACGCCGAGCCTCCGACGCCCCTGACCACCTCGGCGACGGACACGGAGACGGCCGCGGCCAGCGAGAGGTAGACGGAGATATGCACCTGGCTGCAGAAGTTGCTGCCGCCGATACCGCCGGCGGCGGCGCTCCCGGCGCAGACGCTGACGCGCCTGCCGTTGGCGGAGCAGTAGGACATGTCGGACACCGCCGCGAACGCGGCCCCAGTCGCCGAGTAGAGCAGCGCGGGCACGGCGACGCCCAGCAACGGCATGAGCACCTTGGCCGTCTTGTCCTTGCCCTTCTTCCACACGACGAGGAAGATGGCGATGGCCTCTAGGAACGCCGCGATGGAGGTGGCGCCTACCAGGTAGACGAAGGGCGGGAAGTCGCTGTAGGTGACAGTCCGTGGCCGCGCGCCATAAGCCGCGTACACCGTGCACTGGCTCGCCGTGGCCATCAGCACCGCCGCCGCCACCGCCAGGCCCATGCCCGCGATGCGGCCGGCGATGCTCACCGCCGTCGCCCACTTGGATTCCTTCTTCTCCTCGTCGTGCATGGTTGACGTGCGCCGATCGATGGATGGATGAGCAAGCTAGCTTGTTAGAAGCTCGATTGTTGACTTTGAGCTTGTTGAGCCTTAGCTAGCTTGAGCTGTCGCGTAGATGTATATATACATATATGAGCATTTGGTGACAACTAACAAGTGGATGATGAAGAGATCGTCAACGGGAGTGATTGGAGGCGGCATGTTTGCACGCTCAACTAACGTTCGTTAGCACGACAAGCTCACTTCCGTTTTGTTTTCTTGCTTTCTTGGTAATGACTAATTAGTGGATTAGCATCTAATATTCTAATCTCACTTGATTCTACTAGTTGTTACATACTTGCATATTATATCGACGGCGGTTCGCCACTAGTTTACTCGCTAAATCGCTTAGTTTGCTTGGCAAGCCAACAAATTTGCCTATAGTATTAGGGTATTAGCAATGATTAGGTTCCATGGTTAATTCATAGTAGTAGTATATATATTGTTAACATCTCTGCTCAGAATTATGCATTCATGAGTCAAACTGACGGCCCAGCACTTGCTTTGCAACTCAAAGTGACGGCCCAACATGCTTTGGGAACTGACAGGCCAACGGATCAATTAAGCCCCCTCTGTTTGGTCCAGTCCACTTTGAATCCTTTTCCTTTCTTGCAGTACACTTAGCAGAGTTGCATGCTTTTTTTTATTTTTAACCAAAAAAAAGCTACATTACGACTTGTGGCCAAACAATCACAAAGGGTAAACAAGCCATGGATTTACAATTATTGATTTACCAACAAATTCAAAAGCAAAAAAGATGGCACATCCTAATGCTTGCAATGGCACCCATGCCGACAGACGGACTCCGAATCCGAGTCCGAGTCTGAGTCAGAGCCAGAGTCCGAACCCAACCCACTGCCATGGCACCATCGCAATGTGGTCAGGAACTCAGCAATGGACACGGCGCCGAGCGCGAGCCACATGGACACGTGCACCTGCTCGCAGAAGCAGCCGCCGCCGACGCTGCTGTGGCAGACGCTGAAGCTTCTCCCACTGGGCTCCAAGTAGTAGGAGACGTCCCAACTGACGGCGAACGCGCGCCGGCGGACGTGTAGAGCAGCGCGGGCACGACGGCGCCGTGGAGCAGCATGAGCACCCTCCAGGCTGTCTTTCTCCTGCCCTTCTTCTTCGAGCTGAGGAACAGGACTACTGCCTCTAGCAGCGTGGCAATAGCGGTCGCCGCCACCAGGTACCTGCATCACAGCCGCAAATGTACAAATGTTGTGCAGGTACTTGCGGCAATGGATTTTTAGTTCTCTGGTCTGGTGTACGTACACGAAGGCATGGAAGTCGCTGTACGTGACGGTGCGCGGGCGCGCGCCGTAGTCGGCGTAGACGGTGCACTGGCTCGCCGTGGCGATGGCCTCCGCGGCCACCGCCGCCAAGCCTATGCTGGCGACGCGGAAGAGGAGGCTGAAACGGTGCACTTGGCGCAGCCCCCTGACTTCTTCTCTTGGCACATGATCTCTCTCTCTGAATCGAGTTCGAAGTTTCCAAGGCAGGGTAAGCAAAGGACTGTGAGTTGAGGCTTGCATTTAGCGCTTATACATGGATGTACGTATTTATATAATACTAGCTGGAGGCCCCGTGCTTCGCACGGTTTTTTTTTTAATTTTCAGGTGTGAACGAAAAAAAAAGAGAAAAAGGTTGGTGCTGTTCCTTAGCGGGTCGGGACTGTTTATCGTGCTCCGTACTGTTCATCACGGGTCCGATACCCGTCACTGTTGATCTACAGCGATGCGGGTCTTGAGGTGAGTCGGATGAACAGTAAAACCGATGGGACATGCCTCAAACTTAAAGTTCTTATATAGCTAGATAGATATGTATGTGCACATGCATGTGATGGCAACGTACTAACAATTGGCTGCCGACTATTGCCGAGAGTAGATGTTAAAGAAAGAGCGTGACTGGGAGATGCACCGTACCTGCTTGTGATATAAGTACGAGTATATATTTCTTGGGAAACCATGCATGCACATGAACAAGCCTTTAGCTACCTATTATTGAGGCTGACCAGTCAGCGATAGTTTCTTTTCTCTCCCTCTTGGACAGGCCTCTAATCTCACTGGCTGCAAGTAGTTACAAGCGTTGCTCATTGGTGTTTCCGAACAAAAAAGAACGTGTTTTATGATTGCCGGTTGTTTACTTACTCGTTTTGTTTTTGTAGGTGATGAGCCTATAGTTTTCTTCAGTTAAGAGTGCAATCAATGACTAGGTTCCACGGATAAGTCGTAGGTAGCTCTGCTCTATATGGAATCTGCTTCTTTATGTTTTTTTGTTGGACTAATTCGTACACAGCAATATACGACATGTTTGGTTGCTGAAATGGTATTGGAAACGCAAAGGGAATATGATTACGCGGGAAGACGAGTCCGTAATCTGATTACACGGGGGCTGGAGCTGTATCAGCTTTATACAATATGGTATCTGATAACGGCGGTACTCGATTCCACGAGGCCAAAAACAAACATTAATTAATGGAGTTACCGGCAGTAATCGAATCACGTTACACTGATGTGAACCAAACACTACCATAATGTTACACACTAATTAAGGATTGGGTGGCTAACTACATAAAAGTGTTAGAAGACACTACATCTCATTTACAAAGGCGGTTAGTAAAATGTGCTGTCTCTTAAAATTATAGGAGGCGCAATGATAAATACTTGTCTCTGTAAATCAAAATTCAATTTTTAGAGGAAACTAAGAGAGCTTAAGAGGTCGACGTACGACAGGGACATGCCTCTTAAGGCCAGTCTCAGACTCTCAGCGGGCATGCACATTAAATAAGTTGACATGGCATAATATAGATAAAGGGAGAGATATGATGAAATGAGTTTCATGCAGATAAAATTTATCTACATTGTTTCCAACACATGAGAGTCTTGGGAATTAGAAGATGCAACCCCTAGGCCTTAAGGCCTTTAGCCCTCTCTATCTAAAAATATAGCTGAGACAAGTATCAAGGCATATTATTGTTCCGAGAGTACATAGGTGGCTAGGGTTTCACTCAGCCAGTCTCTTTCCACTAATAGAGAACATACTTTCGGTTCAGCACATTAGTCTCGGCTAGAATTGGACCCAGGACTAATGTGAGCATTAGTCCCGGGTCCAAGTTTCTTGGGCGTCAGAAGACCAGTCCCGGTCAGTAACACCAACCTGGACTAAAAGGTCTACATTAGTCCCGGTTGGTGTTACGGACCTGGACTAAAGAGCCTTGACCCTTTAGTCCTGGTTAATATCATCAACCCGGACTAATGTTGACCCTTTTACTCCCGGTTGGTGTTATGAACCCGGACTAAAGGTCCTCTGACGGGTTACGTCAAAAGAAAAGAATCCCATCTAGACTCGTGCTGTGTTGGTGGGGTGGAAAGGTGTGCGTGAGGCAATACATGTGGTCTTGGGTTCGAATCCTGTGAGGCACAAGGGTGGGAGGTATTATTTTTTAGTCTCCGAGGACCTTTAGTCCAGGTTTAGAGCAGCCGGGACTGTAGAGTCATGCCTTTAGTCTCGGATTCCTAGTCCCGGTTGGTCAACCGGGATTAAAGGCCCCTACCAACCGGGAGTGAAACCTGCTTTTCTACTAGTGTTCGCCCCTGTAAGGAGCATGTGCCCTTGATGATATCATTTAGTTTTGAAGATGGAGATGAAAACACAAGTCTATGACTAAAAAGTATGCTAAAAATGTGTTAGACATGTTATAATGGGTCACGGGAATACAAGGCTCACTACTACTATAAACAATAACAAACAAGGTCCAAAATAGTTCTAGAGGTGGCAGCACCTTCCGCCTCCAGAACAACATCACTGTTAATCCAATACAGCGGAGACGGGCAATATGCCCACCTTCGAAAATCAGAAAAAAATAAAAAAATGGCTCTGCTGACAAGGCCACTCTTGAGACCGCCGCCAAGCCTACTCCTAAGCCCGCCGCCAATCCCATCATCTAGGTGTCATGTTGCCCCCACTGGTGCTCATTGTTGTCCAACACCGCCCCTCCACCACCATGGCCCACCAGATCATACTGAGCTCCACCCATGCCACGTCATGGTCCTCCCTCCTGGACTTTTTGTTTGGTCACGAGATCCACACAATGGTCTTCTTGGTTGGAGGTGGAAGCAATGACACGGAGGCGCTAGACTTTGATCTCCTCTCCATCAAAGTCGCTGTGGTTAGGAAGTGTTGGCCAGAGGTGGGGGCCTCTAGGCCCCGGATACTGGCGGGGATGACCTCCAGTAGCCGAATCACAGCGGGGACAACCTCTAGGCATAGGATCCCAGTGGGGGACGACCTCTAGGCGCCGGATCACGGCGAGATGACCTCTAGCCTCCGGATACTAGCGGGGACGAACTCTAGGTGCTAGATCCTGACGGGACGACCTCTAGTCACCAAATCTTGATAGGGACGACCTCTGGGTGTCGGATCCCGGCACGTTGCGGGGGAGTGGCGCTCCACCTGTGGGATCCTCCGGGGGGCTGGGGAGTAGCGGCCCACCTGTGGGATCCTGGCGAGGCAGGAAAATGGTGCTCCACTCTGTGGAAAGTGAGAGGGGAAGGGGCAGGTGGGATAGAGGGAGAGGACTGGAAGAATCAGAGGCAACGGGTGGATGGACAAATGGGTAGGTGGGAGAGACAGATGGAGTCGAAACCCTAGCTGATTTATATACTCAAATGTAATTCTAGGCTTTGAGATGGGCCTTGGGCTTCAGATCCGTTAATAGAGGTAGGCCTCTAAAGGTGTAAGCCTCTAAAAATAACACCCATTTTCATAGGCAGACGCCATATGAGGCCCACCTATGTTAATCGATTTTTTGAGGTGGGTTGTCTCTGTAAATGAGTAAAATGCCTCCTAAAATGCCAAACTATTTGAGGAGACCCATAGAATTGTTGTCCACCTCTGAAAATAGAAAGGCTTGTCTTGTAAAATCATTTTTGTGTGGATAAGGTTTGATCAAGATTTGGGCTAAAACAAAGAAGAAAGAGAGAAGATTCCTCGCTAGAGCATTCACCAGATCACTTGATATGGCTTGCCTGATCATATGATGTCCTATAAGTTAGCCAGGAAGACATTAACACATTTACTGTGCATAGACAGGGGGAGCCCTGTTGCCGCCACGCTTGGGAAGGGGACGACGAGCCCTATCCTCATCGCGCCTGAAGTGAGGCGCCGACCGAGGTGAGAGATAGGAGGCGGGGGGTCGGGGGAGGAAAGAGAGATGATGGCAGTGCCTAGGTTGAGGGTGATGATGGGAGAGGTGGTTTTCTCAGTTACTTACTACATCCCATTTCCACCGCCAGTTCAATTTTCATCGAAATAAAACCAGCGATATCGGTGGTGATATGTTACCACCATTATTTTTAATAGAATCAGCAGTGGAAATACCTTTCCGAAAACCATTTATGTAATAGTAAAGGCACCCTAGGGAAATCTATATTACTTATAGATATATTAAGAAAGACCCAGCATAGGAAAGAAAGACCACATAAGATTGACATAAAATTAGACTAAGACCTGACGAAGTCTTCACTTCCATGACATCCATCGCAACAATGGCAACTCTGTGTTGCCTCATCATCATTGATCCTGCTGTCGTGCAAGCAAAGGACAAAACAGATAACCCGTTTCTCTAGTAATAATGGAAAATCAGCACCACACGCTTTTCCCACCAGCATGCATGCTTTCATTTTCATATATATGTACCATATACACACGATTAATGAAAATCTGCAGCGCACGCTTCACACATCTGCATGATTTCTTGTACGTGTATAATCAATGAAAATCAGCATGACACGCTTCTCCTAAATTCACCATGCTTTCAGCCAACATGCGAGCGCTTCCGAAGTCTGGTACCTTTATATTCAACTGGTACCAGACGTACTCGCAGGTGTATGAAAGAAATCGTGAGTATTTTTTTTTAACAACAGAAGTCGTGAGTATTATTCCGGTGCGTAGCTAGACCAACACTACTGTTTCCATCCTCTGGGCTGTCTGTGTTATAACTTATAATGGACAATATATGTCATGCACGATTGATGCAAATATATAAAGTGATATAATTTGATGAATATGGTTTGGCAGAACAAATCAAATCATGTACGTTGTATGTATTTCGTGCCATATACTGTGTTTATTAAATCAGCAACGACTCAATTTCGAAGTGAAAGTGATGTGCATAAGTTGGAGAAAAAAGGTGACA